ACGTTACAATATATTATAAAACTTTCATAGCTAGTACTACTTTTTGTCATTATGAATGCTCTTAGGCACAACAACTTGAGTTAAGCTTGGCGATATTTAGGACCCTGTTTTGTTAACTTTAATTAGATGATAATATTAGTTTATCAAATCAATATTTCATTGGTGAAATATGATAAATGAATGAGTGATAACTGTGTAGGATAATGGTACTTTTTCTTATTAAAGATATCACTTCTCTAGAGTAAAAAGTGATTTTTAGCCCTCTTTAATTGATTTTTTTTAGTATGAAGTAACATTTTTCTAATTTATTTGACTTGAAGGATTGTGAGCCCTTCTTAGTTGTGGAGCAGCTTCATTATTTGAAGCCGCTATGTCTCCCATCTCATGTATGCTTTTAATGATGGAACCATTAACCTACCATTTAGCAATTGCAATCAAGTTTGTTACGCTAGGACCCATCTCTATTATGTCAACCTATGTATGGCACTTGATGTTGAGACTTTGTTTGCTTTTAAATGGAAGGCTCTCTCTCTTCATATTGAAGCACTAGCTAGATCATTTTTTTTTCCTCCATTTTATATCTTTCTAATAAAAAACATCATAAAATGTTAACATCCCAATTCAAGAATGGCGAAAGATTGAAAGGTAAATATAACTAGGTCCAAGTAATTTGATGAGAAGAAGATCCAATGGTGCTAGAGAGATATTATAAAGAAGAGTAAAAGGCGAATTCAAGTAGGATAAATTTGCTATAGTACTTCTTTTTGAGTGTTTATGATCTTCTTTGGGATTCCATGACATATTTTATTTCCTGACTATGTTATATCTAAGTTTTAGTGCTTTGATTACGGATCTTCTTTCGAGTCAATCCAAACTTCAGCCAAGTTGAGAAGATTAATCAAGCCATCGTATTGACCACCCCAATTTGCAATAATTTTTTGAATGTCCAATTGACTGTCCATACTATGCAAGAAACTAATCAAGTTGCCAAGAGATTAAGCTTCATTTGGGATAGTTTTAGACTGTATTTTTTCTCTACTTTAAAGAAATTTTACTAAAAATAACTTTATAAAACAGTAAAAAAGTCGTCGCAAGCGAAGGCTTATTCTTAAATTATATAATCGTAAAATTTTTTTTCAACTGTGCTTATTATTTAATTTGTATGACAAGATGTACTTTTACACAACATTAAACTATATATTTCTATTACAATATCTTAACAAGTAAAATATTGTACCAAATCCTTAATAGCACAACCAATAATTCACATTTTAACAAGGACATTTTTCAAAGTGTCACTGTTAAGAAAAGGTACATAATTAATATACCAAATTTATTTTTAGACTGTGTTGAGATAACTTTTATTACTATTTTTAAAATAATTTTTTAGCAATTTTTTTTTTGAAACATAAAAAATTTAGTAATTAAAATTCGTCTAAACAAAACCTTAGTTTTTAAAATATTTTATATATATAATTTAAAATCTTAAGACTTTATTTTGAGAACAATTTTTTACTATTTTAAACAGTTTTCTATATAAAAGTTACCTAAAAAATAATTGAGAAATTTGTCCCAAATAAAAACTAAAATACTACTAATTAATCAATCTTATTACAATATATAATGTTTAAGCTCCAAAAATACATCGATTCATATCTTTATTGGAATAATTAAATATCATCACCTAATTAAAAAATAAAAAATTAAGGATGCAAATAGAACAGTAAGAAGACGACCCTACCAATCCAGTTAATGAATTGCTTGCTGGCCTGCTCTATCGATCAGTGACAAAGAAGACCCATTCTTTTGCTATTAAATATAACAGATTTTATCCCTTCCAGATATCAAATCATTCCATACTAAAAAAAATATAATAAATATCACACATCTAACATGTTGTTCTCCCAAGTGTAGCTAAATAATTGAGTCTCTGATCAGTGACAGAGAGAAAAAGCCATGCATTGAGCATTGCATCTAAGCAAGAAATTTGATCAATATATGACAATAGTTTGCCACCACTTGCATGCACAATACATGCATTGTCATTAGAGGTGTGCATGCATGCACTGTCCATTATGTTGCGGTGGACCTAGGATGGCATAATATAATTTAACAAGTTACATATGAAATCTATTAAGTAAAGAAGCTAAATTCTTAGATATTGAGACGCCTTTTGGTGAATAGCCGCAGTTAAGCGTACTCATCTTGGAAATCCTGAAATGGGTGACCTAACTCGGAAGTTACACTAACAAGACAACCGTGAGGCAAGCAATATCTCGATAGTTAGAGGTTTTGATTGTTACGTTATATTTTATGGTATTATATTGTATAAATTATAATTTTGTTTTGAAAGAAGCATGATTTATTTTACAAACTTCTTTGTCAGAGTTTACATAGCCCCTCTTTCTCTCATTTGAGCC